GGTATTAGGAGCCGGACATGGTTCCTCTACCCCTGTGTAAGGGATAATTCAGAGAGAGGAATCCTCAAGAGACTGGCTACACCAGCTTTAAGGCAGCTAAACATAGGAACTAGTGTGAACAAGACACATGAGGAAGTTTACTAGTAACAACAGTGACAAAGGTGAAATTAAGGAGTCAGCAGGCAAGGGAATGCTCAGAGAGAGTGAACCAAAGAAGAAGCCTGATCATTAAGGTTGATAGCATGCCTTTAAGTTTATACACAGGAAGAGATCAACAGAGCCAAAGATAAAAATAGCCATCTTTTCTAGAACTAAACTCAACGATTAACAGAGAAATGTGCACATTTTTCTTATACTCCATTTTACCTGAATTCCCTTCAGAGATGAAGCACCCATGTAAAGAAAGACTCCATAGAGTACTGGCATAGGAATAAACTGCAGATGAAAAAGCAGGGGAGAGAAGAAAAAAAGAATATGTCGAATATCAGTTCATGTATACTATATTTTAAATAGTTTTAATTCAAAGTCTAGTTCCAGAATTAATCCAACTAGTATACATCTAAAGGAACTGGGTAAAAATTAGTAGTACTACTTTGCTGGAACACAATGGCAGAGAAATCAAAGAATCTTGGAACAAACCCAGAAAGGGGCTGGGCTCAAGCCTTATGTCTTGTACCTCAGGCTGTAAATGGGTACCTGGAGTGATTTGCACTGGGGACTCAAAGGCTACTGCAGCTGCTGCTACATCTGTCCCTCATAGGCACTGTTGCCTGGAACTTTAGTTTTCCAGTTGCCACTACGTAATCTATTCACTGTTTACAAGACCTAATGCTAACGTGTGGCCTATGGGCTCCTGCCCAGCTGCTGCTCTGCTCTACCACATCTGCTGGTGCTGCTGGGGCCTTTAGGCTTCCCTTCTCCTCTGGCTTCTGCTTCCTGCTCCCACCCCGATGGTGGTGTGTCATGGCTCTTGGGAGACTGGGAGTCCACACAACCCATGAAGTAAAGGGAGGAGGGCTGCTGGGGAGAGGGGGCCTGTGGACCCACAGCCCAAGTGGCATGTAATCCCCACCTGCTCAGAAGTTGGCCAGACCTGCACTGCAATATACCAGGTGGTAGACAATAAGTTAAAAGAGAGCAGTTCATCCTTATCATATACTTAAATAGGTTACTCATACAATAGGGTTGTCCAACTTCTGAGTGGCCAGGGCCACAACCCCCCTCCCCTCCCGCCATACACCACATGGGCTACACACAACCTGGGGGTGCATACTGGGACAGACCCTGAACAGCATGATTGAACACTGCACAGGCTGCTGAAATGCCAGAATAGCCCCTAAGCCACATGTTCCCACCCCACCCCTGCATGGACACATTGTGCAGCCCCTTCCCCCACTAGATGGACATACTGCAACACACCACATACCCACCTGCCGCTGCATGGTTCCCACCCAGCACATTGCAGGCAACTTCCAATGTGCCATACTGATGTCTCTGCACTTCACATGGTTCCTGGGTTCTCCTGAGCTTCCCTGGTGATACGGTCCACCCCACCCCGTGGGCCACTCCACTCTCCCCTACACCCAGGAGCACGACCAGGCAGAGGAAGCTGGAAGAGGAAGGGGAATCTGGGTGCTCCAGCAGCAGCTGGAGAGCAAACGGGAGCAGTGCCAGGACTGGGAGTGCAGGGTTATGTGTTCACTCTGCAGGGACCACATGCAGCCCAGAGGCCACCAGTTGGACAGCTGCTTACAATCCTATATATAATGTTATTTGCACACCCTCAGGAATAAAAGTACTTAAGACAGTAAATACTGCAAAAAATAAAATAAAATCAGTTTTATTTTATCAGTAAGGGATTTTTTTGTATGTTATATGCCTTTAAATAGAGCATATAGTTATTTTACAACAATTTTGTGAATTTGAATATCTATGTTTAAAGTGTGCAGACTCTCTCTGGTACAAAGTGTGTAGGCAGGGAAATCTTTCCATATTTAAGCATCTGTTTTAAATGCAATGCATACAACACATTTTTTGTGAAGAAGTCTTACCAATATATTTACTGCAATATTATTCCAAAATATGAGCATTAAGAAATTTCTTTTCTTCATAACAACTTCACTGAGACCAGAATTTTGTCTATAATTCACAATATTGTTAAGGATCATTTATGCAGATGGTGAAAACAGACCCTTAGCTATTTGGTTTGACATTGAACTTTTAGGCTAAATACAGAGAGACAAAAAACCCCAAGAGGAATAGATCCAGTCTTCACAGCTCTAAGCTGTATAGATTGGACCATTAACGAACCAAACTCTCATTCACTCTTCAGTTGGGGAAGACAGGCAGATGCCTGCACTGGCCAAGGCTAGAAGGCAGGGAGTGCTCTTGCATGACTCCCAGTGTGATGGATATTATTGAAGGCACCCAAGCACAGCTGGTTGTGAGCCATATCTCATTTTCTGCTTGGCTCATGTCCCCAGTCCCCTGCTGTCTTCACAACCCTGCAGAGGCAGAGACTTACAGGGGGCAGGGCTGTACAGGTCTCCTGAATGGGTGGGGAAGGGGAATGTCCCCCCACCCCCCTGGCACAGGGCTCTTCCCAGCTGGGCAGATCCCAGCTCATGAGGAGCCCAGAGCCAGGGCATGGGGTTCTGTTTCCCTGCCTCCTACGTGCTGCCTGACAGGGCTGACAGAGGTAGGCAGGTTACAGGGCTGGGGAACAGGGGCTTTGTTGCCTCAGCTCTGTGACAGCCTGGGAGCAGGGCCAGCCTGGCTCCACCAGAGCAGAGTAACAGTAGCAGAGGCTAGCTGGCCTGCTCTTCAAGGAAGGATTAGCAGGGGGCCACAAAGCATCCTGGGATGCCAGAGGACTGTGACCTAACTTAAGTCAGGAGGGTATCTCAAACAGAAGTTTGATAGACCGATCTAACTTAAACTGATTAAATATGACGCTACATGCATCCAGGTCTTAAACCAGATTCCACCATTTTAAAATTGGTCTATATGCACTGAACCTCTGTTCTGTTACTGGTTTAGACTGGTTTCCAATCACCTATACTGGTTTACGTGTAATTTCTGTCCCTTGCCTTAGAGGATAAATGAAAGTTTTCCTTGGTATTTCAAATATATTGACTATAGAATGCCATTGGAAATTGTTCATAATCTCCCTGAGTTACTCAAATACAAGAACATTTGTTGCTGGTGGAATTTAATAAGGCTTTGCTTTTAGATGAAAATTTACCATTAGTCCAACTGTAGACAAAGGGTGTAAAAATGCTAGGTCCCATGAAGTCAATGGCATGCTTCTCATTAACTTAAATTGGGCTGCAATTTCACCTTCAACCAATTTGGCTTGAAAATATTAGATGTTGATATTTTATCATCAACAGCATCAGAATAAAGTTAATTACTACACAACAATAGGGTTGTTCAACTCATGGCCCACACAGTTAATTTGTGGCCTGCAGGCTCCAGATGGACCACATCTACCCACACTGCATCTCCTGCTGCTGTTGGGATTTTTGATGGCTAGAAAAAGGTATTTAGAGGTTTGCTTTTGGGAACTAGCTTGTAGGTAAAGTAGATATGCTAGAACAAAAGTCCCAGGCAATGGCAAGGGTTAACTGATTTCTAAAAGTCTGTTTGTGCCTTCAAGGCCCACTGTGTCTGACACAGGCAAGCAGCAAGCAGACACACAGGCTGGGAAATTCAAGACATGTGCCACAGTGTTCCATAACATGTGTTAAGGTGTCACTGGGTCACAGTGCCCAACTTCAGAACCCTTGAGATTTCCAATTTTGGAGAACAGACCAAATTAGGAGAAGACCAGGAAAGAACCAAATTAGAATGTATGCATGTGATGGGTCTGTGAAACAAAGGGATATGCTGACAGGACAGAACATGGACCATATGTATGATGACCACAGAGAGACCAATCAGTGATGTCCAAAGATGAAGAATCATCAGAAGGAAGATAGGATATAAAAGGAGGGATTTCAGAGCAGCAAAGGGTCCCTGAGAGGGGAACCCAAAGCACCATGGACAAAGGGCATACCACCAGCCCGTCTCACCCACCCTATCAGCCTCCAACCTCCAGGCTGCTGATATCTGCCATTCAAGAGAGAACCTCAAAGTGAAGCTCACATACTGGCCAAACATACCTTCCCTCTGATGACAACCCTGGGACTGGTAGATATAGATTGTTTGCACTATTCTTATCTGCTATCACTGTAAATCAATAAAATTTGCCTGTTATCAAATGGAGTAGTCATAGTCAGCCTGAGAGTCTTGGTCTGCCTGGAACAAGGTATCTGAGTCTTAAAACCAGCACCAAAAGGCTCCACCTCCATCCCACAACTTCTTACTTCTTGCCCCTGCCATTGGTGGGGGCAGCATGGCCTATGGGGTCCCAGGGAGTCCACACAGCCTATGTAGTGGAAACAGAGCCTGTGGCAATAAGGCCTATAGTCTGAGGGACCCATACCCTGCATGGCATGTGGCAGCCAGCTGCTCAGAAGTTGGGCAGCCCTACACTACAATATGCCAACTAGCAGGCTGTATGTTAAGAGACAGCCAGTGACTCATTAGATAAAAGCATAATTACATTTTCTGTGCAGTATAGTACTCTTAACTCTTGTCTTATTCACCAGAATTACCTTAAGAACACTTGTCAAAAAGACCGACGAGCCCATAAGGACAAATATCATGAGCCCTGTAACTCTCTGCTCCCGTATTCCAAGAAACTTGGGCTGCTCTCCTGGAGCAGAGCATTCCGATTCTAATTTTAAGCTGTTCACATGGGAAATAGAGAGCACAGTGGCAGCAACAAACCATGGCAGTCCCATAATGGAGCATACTCCGAGCATGACTGCCACCATCAACAAGTCGAGATGATATCCACACCCTTTCTGTTAACAGAAACAATAACAAGATAAGATATAAAATGGCATTTGCATTCAGGACATCTCTAGCAGCAGGCATTCCTAACAATTAGAAACAATTTTTAAAAATTCATACATTTAGCAAGAAATACCTGTCCTCCACGTGCTACCCAGATTGAATCAACGAGGGAAAAATGGCAATATACAGTGGATTTTTATTGGTTTACATGAAATAAGTTGTGGATCTTTGTCTAGTTCCTTGTGCGAAAGAGCCCACATTAAGAATCTATCTCCAAAATGGCTTTTTTTTAATGGAAGATGCCAAGTTCATGCATCTCTCAATATGGTCCTTTCATATGAAGTCTAAGATACACTGGTGGGGCATCATGAGAAATATGCATGGCTGCTGCTTTACCTGGACCTCTTCCATGGATAAAGAGTGGATGCCTCTTACACCAATGGTGTCACTACAAGATGCTTTGTGCATGCACTGGATTCAAGTTACAAAAAATCTTAATAGAGAACAAACCATCATCCTTACACAAAAGGTAAAGATACACCTTTTGATTCTTCCCTCCACAAAACACTGCTGAATGTTGTTAAGTCAGAGACTATGAAACCAGTTTAGTTCATAAAAGACTATTTAGATACACATATCTTTTGGCAGTATCTTCATATTATTGTTTTATCATATTTAAAGTTAATAAGTTGTTAGCATCATAACCATATTGAAATGAGATTTATTTACGACTCTTTCCCCTTTGTTTCTACTTTTAACCATGGTAAAAACAGTCTTCTCTAAGTTAAAAGGGGTTTTTTAAAGGAAAAATAACCAGGCATGGCACTTTTCATTTTCCCATTACATTCTTAAGAAATGACATCCCATAGGAAGGGAAAAGACAGTATTCAACTCAGTTTTTGGAGTCTGATTGTGTTAGACAATAACTTAATCTGTAGAATAACAGAGTAAAATTATATTGTTGTTACAGAGCAGAGGGGAGTAAAACTCTTGGCTCTGACCATAAGCATTCATTCTTTGAGCTCACCTCATCAGAGATCAGCAAAGCTTGTCCATGTAACTTAATTTGATGTCAAAGCTACAAAGGTTTTTTTTCTTATTCTGAATACCCAGAGAGCATCATTAGACTCCGATTCTCCCTCTGTATTTAGAATTCAAACTATTTTAGTAGAAAAAGTCACCTGAAGGTAAATCCCACAATATTTTCCAAAATGACAACAAGGCTCCTGCTACAAGTTACATATATTACACAATTAACTGGTTAATCATGCAATAAATTTAGACCAGCCACACATGCAAAGTAATTATCACACTATAAAAATGACTGTCCAGCTACAAAAACAGCCAACCAGCTATAAGGTTAGTGCTTGAAAATGTGTAACAACTCTATAGCTGGTTTCTATCCAGCTTTAATTTGAATGTGTAGCAGGGCCCCAAGTCCAATTTCCTGCTCTTACACTAAAGCACATGCAAGCAATATGAATATGCAGAACCAGAATCTTGCCCATAAACCCATGCAAATGGCTTTTGACATAAAAAGTAACTAAATCAAACTTGGAAGGCTTTGCTACAGAGGCTGCCAAAAACTCAAATGTACACTATTCAGAACTGCTATGGAAAGTATAACAAAATGGGGGAAAAACAAGTTAGAAATTATTTGTCTCTCTCCTTCTGAAGACAAGTTTAATTTCTAAAATGAGAAGCATCTGAGTTTATGGAATCATGACCCAGAACACAAAATCCCCAGTTTCATCAACCTTGTTGCCTCCCTGAAGTTGCTTATCAGTCTGACATCCAAAACATGTCTTGCTGAATTCAGAGATATGTCAAATAAAGGATTTAGTTATATACATCCATGCATTCACAGAAAGAGCTTAATTCTAAATCCTAACAGAGACACCTTTTTTACCTTCTGACACATTTAGGAGGAATGTATCTACTAATGCATACAGAATCAGAGATCCTGTCCTCACATTTTACATGACTCTGAGGAAACTGACATATGGGAGAAAAGGGAAGTAGAGCAACAGGTGATGATACACCAGACCCCAGCAAAACTAATATACAGCAAGACAAGGGGGCAGCCAGGAGGACCATCTGACTCCCAGATGCCAGCACTGAAAAAACACATTCCAAAGCTTGGCAGCAATTTCCTGCATCTGTCAAGTTAACCACATGCAATACTATGGATTGACATGAAGAGCCAGGCTGACAAAAAGGGCAAAAAAAGAACATATCAAATGTCACAATCATCCAAGAAGAGGCAGTGCAAAGTGAAGGTTGCAAATACATTTGCTAAAGCAATTTGGGATTGGATTGTTGTTTAGTAAAAGTATGTCAAAAGAAGCCTAAGCTTGCTGCATATACATGTAGAGAAACCTGCTGTTAGATTTTGCCCAACAGTTTTTCAGAGAGGTGATGTCCCCCTTTCTCTCTCCATCTGCAGGCGTCTAGAGTGTTAGAGAACAGAGCAGGAAGTTGTCCTATGTCATTTTAAGATCCCTATGTGTCTCCAAGTTCAATTTTTACACTTCATCCTCCTCTAAGAAGAAAGGAAAGGAATGGAAGAAGAACTTATATGTAAATTCAGAAGATAAAGAATGAAAAAAAAATAAGACGCGGTGTCCCTGAATAAATTTTCAAAATTAAACACAGTAGAAAGATGCTGTCTGGTTCTCAAGATATGTTATACATTTGATTTTGATTCAGCAAAGATTCTGGCAACTGCTTAACTTACAATAGGTGTTCTTTAAAATCAAAGGGTCTTGAGCCCATTTAGGTAAGAAGTAATCTTCTGAACTGGGGCCTGTGCCTCTAGGCGCATTTTTAAAAAACTTGTGCAAACAAGAGTCTCTGACAAAGACCACAGAAATCACACGCACAAAATTAATACACGCTCTTAGTTTTCTAATTGATTTAGGAAGCTGCTAAATAATGCACAGTAAATTAACTCTTTTTGAATAAATGGACGTACATTAAGTAACGTAAAGCAGGAAGGGAAAATGAACATATGAACATGCAACTGAATACCTTTAGTTTGTGCTCTTTTCGGTTGATAATAACGGCTGTAATCTGCTGGTCCATAAAGATAAGGATAGTACAAAGCAAAGCTGGAATTATGGCAGCTAACACAGTCCACCAAGGATTAGGTCCCAAAGGGGTGATAAACCAGCCCCGATCATCTCTGGTAGGCTAGAAGATAATAAAGTAATAAATGAATAGCTCACAATTCTAGGGACAATTAAGTGATCTGAGTTTGCAGCTACACATGTATATAGAAATACTATTTAGGATAGGATTTATTTAATTTAACAGCATTCTATGCACTTTTAATAAACATTCTCCCTGTATACCACCAGATAAAATCCTAAACATTATACTGTAAAACAGGATCAAGAAAAAAACTAAGTATAAATAGTCCCCTCCCCCCCACACCCAACCTGTCTCTCACCTCCTGACCACCCCAATTTACATTTTAACCTGCTTTCTTGCATATACTGGCCTCTGGCTGCTTTACCATTGCATCCAGGAAGAGTACAAACCATTTGCAGATGCTTCCTCAGCCTGACGATGGGTGTTTGTGCCTGAAAGCTTGCTAAGAAGAATTTTTCCAACTATTTGAGTTGGTCTAATAAAAGATATTGAATTTACCCAAACAACCTTGTCTGCCTACGTCCTTAGACCAACACGGCTACAACCTATCCCTCTGGACTAGGGATAGACATTACACATAAACTGGTTTAAATGATCAGAAACTGGTTTAAACCTATAACAGAACAGACATTCAGTACACATAAACCAGTTTGAAAATGTCTATAACCAGTTTCAGATAAACCTGGATGAATGTAGTATCAGACTTAACTGATTTGGGTCAGACCAGTTTATGGTAATGTCCTCCTTCACACCCTTCCCCCTTCCTTCCTTGGAAAAAGCTATTTAAGAAGAGCTTGAGCTAATGAGAGAGGCTTTTGTTTTGCTGATGGACTGCTAAATGCTGTTATCAACTCCATACTGGGCTGGTCATAAGCAGGGAGGGTGTGGGAAGCCCCTCCCTAATCATAGTGTCCTGCTGGGGCCTGGCCATGCCCCGCATTGTGGAAGGCAAGGGAGAGCTGCTCTAGAGCCCCCTGTCTTCTAGCCTGAACCACTGCAGGCATGTGCCTGCATTTTTTCAGTCCAGAGGGAATATCTGTAGTTACAAACTGGTTCAGCCTGATCATGGTTAAACTAACCTGCAAACATTTAATCAGTTCAGGCTCAGGCTTTTTGAATGTTTCTCTTTATCCCTGAAGTTTAAATATGGCATTTCATTCCTTCTCTAACAGTTATATAAGATAGTACAAGACTTAACATTTCATGAGATATGTTGTTGCCTACAAAAGTTCATTCCTCTCTGAACCAATTAGTCTCTAAGGCAGGGGTAGGCAATGTTTTTTGGCCGGAGTGCCGAAAAACACCACAATGCCTACCTTGGAAGGTGCCGGCATGGCAGAAAAACAAAATAAGGGCAAGGGGTACATGGCAGGATGCCCTGCTTGTGCCCCTTGCCCCCCACCTAAAGCCCCTAATCCCTAGCCCTGCCACCCTGTGCCCCTGTCCCCTAGCCCTGCTGCCCCTTGCCCCGCAACCCAAAGCCCCTGCCCCCCAGCCCAGGCTCTATGGTTGCCAGTAGCTACCCCAGCTCTGGGTAGCTGCTGGAGCCTGGGCTGTTCCCAACAGGGCTCGCAGCATCTCAGCTGCCTGCTGGGAGCAGCCCAGGATCCTGGCTGGCAGCAGCTCTCCAGAGCTGAAGCCAGCTGCAGCCGGGAGGCTCCAAACTGCTGCGCCGGGCTCCACAGGTCCAGCATCAGCTCCGTGCTGGCAGCAACTGCATGGGGACCTCGAGGCCGGCTGCACTGCCGTGCTGTCTGCCCTGAGGTGCACACACAGTCGCCACCAGCACAGAGCTGATGCCAGAGCTGTGGAGCCCAACGCAGCTGTTTGTAGCCTGCCCGCTCCTTGCTGCAGCTGCCCGCCCGCTGCTTGCTGCAGCTGCCCAGAGCCCAGGCTGGCTACAAACAGCTGCACCAGGCTCTGGAAGCCTACCATCACCTCTGTGCCAGAAGCAGGGGAGAGACCGGGGCTATGCTGCCCCAGGCCCTGCCCCCCGCCCCCCGCTCCAAGGTGCACCTGCACACACCAGTGTGGAGATGATGCCAGAGTCTGGAGCCCAGCACAGCTGTTTGGAGCCTCCCAGCTGCAGTCAGCCCCGGCTCTGGGGAGCTGCTGTCAGCCGGGATCCCAGGCTGCTCCCAGCAGGTAGCTGGGATGCTGCAAGCCCTGCTGGGAGCAGCCTGGGCTCCGTCACTAGCAGCAGCTACCAGAAGCCAGGGCTGATCATGGTGTGCCAAGCAAAATGGCCTCGCATGCCGTACTCGGCATGTGTGCCAGGGTTTGCCAATCCTTGCTCTAAGGTGTCACCCTGCCCTACCTTCTGGCTATAGGCTTTATTGTATATAGTAGAATAAAAATGATACAAAGGCCTCCAGATGTGGGGGGGGGAGGGGGCGGGGGAGTAGGAAGAGGTACTCAAAACCATTATCTTTCACTGAGAGAATATAAGGAACATCTGACTGCAGACTGTACAGCCTACTTGTTGGGTCCACCAATACAGAAGAATGGGGTAGCCTGGAAAGGATAAAAACAGGAGACAGGGCATAAAGCTGGGGCAGGCAATTATTTTGGGCAAGGGGCCACTTGCTGAGTTTTGGCAATCCATCGAGGGCTGCATGACAGGCAGCCCAGGGCAGATAAATATTAATTTTCTAAATTTTTAGGGGCTCTGCCAGCCAGATAGAATGGCCTGGTGGGCTGCATGTGGCCCCTGGGCCACATTTTGCCCACCCCTAGGATAGAGGGTTTGGATCAGCTAAAACTCCTTAGTTAGATCAATCTAACTGTAGACATTTAACTCTATCATTCTCTTCATGAAAAGTAACTAGTATCCAAAACCCATTTATCTGAAACTAGGTTATACAAATAATAGGAAATCTCAGATAAAAAATGTGGATAATAAAGGTTTCAATATGCACAGATAATGGCAACAATACTTTTGTTATAGTAGAGCTATGAGTCACTAGTCACAGATCAAGGGGTTTGGTGCACACATAAATAGTTCAGAGAACAGCTGTTTAGTCAGTGGTTTTAAAATGTTCTCCAGTCTCAATCTATTATGTGGCAGGCTATCTCAGTAATGCAATAAGACAGTGCAATATATTAACAGATTACCTTGAAGGCATTTGGAACCTGAAGCTTTGGAGATGGAATTCCAAGGGCATAGTCAAGTAAGACCATAGACAGAATAGTAAGAAAGACGGCAAAGTCACTGACTATAGATCGCACCTGCAAATATTGAGCCAAATGTCATTTTCCAGAAAAACAGCCATATGTAATTTAAGAAAGAAAACGTAACAGTGTCAATTTAATGTCTTTGACAGGGTACAAGAATACCATGTTTCAAGACAAGATTATACTTTCTCCTATGCAGTAGTCTGCCCAGAGAAGGGCCACAAGGGTATGTCTACACCAATTCAAGACCACAAATTTCATACTCGGGATAGTCATCGTGAAGCACAGCACACCTATTCTACACATCATGCACCCCATAATGGATGTAATATAGCTGGTTTAGAACAGTGCTGGGTGTGCACCAATAGTCACACCCCAAAAAGTGAGCTCACTGGTGCCTGCTAGTGCTGCTCTAAGATGGTTACAGAACACCTTGTAATGTACTGTAATGTTGTAAAGTGAACTATAGTTCCCAGAAGCCTCCGGGGGACTAGGAAAATTAACTGTATCATGCACTACAACTCCCAGAAGGCTGCAGGAGACAAGAGGAAGGAGCAGCATGGCAGACAGAGGCACATGGCATGAGAGTGAGAAGCAACTAGGACTGAGCTGTAGCAGCTGGGCTTAGACACGGTCAATATGCTCAGGAAATTAGTGAGGCGCTGATAATCAGGGGCATTGGTGAGATGGGAGTCCAGGAAGGGTGGTCGTTCCTAAAGGGAATGATCCTTCAGGCACAGGAGACAATCCCATTGTGCATGAAAGCGGACAAAGGGGACATGAAACCCATTTCACTGAACAGGGAAATCCAGGAAAGCCTAGGGGCAAAAAAGAGGCATGTAGACTGTGGACGCAGGGGGTAGCTACCAAGGAGGAGTATACCTACTTAGCTTGTACTTGCAGGGAGTCAGTTAGAAAGGCCAAAGCTTCAATGGAACTTAGACTGGCAATGAAAATTAAAGACAGCAAAAAGTCCTTCTACATGTATGTAGGGAGCAAAAAGAAAGCACGGGGTAACATAGGACCCCTAAAGGGCAGACTAGGACAATTGGTGACAGATAGGAGGGACAAAGCTGAGATCTTCAATGAGTTTTTTGCTTGAACATGGATCAGGACAAATCTCTCAGTTGGACTATAGATGAGCACAGGAGGGAAACCAGCCCACCAAGTGTTAGCGCCAACTTAGTGAAGGGACACTTGGAGGTGCTGGATGTGTTTACGTTAGCAGGCCTGGATGCTTTTCATCCAAGCGTGCTGAAGGAATTGGCCAGTGTCACAGCAGAACCACTGCCATGGCTGTTTGAGAACTCATGGTGCTCAGGTCAGGTCCCAGAGGACTAGAAAAGGGTGAATGTGGTCCCTATTTTCAAGAAGGGGAGAAAGGAGGATCCGGGTAACTATAGGCCAGTTAGCCTCACCTCTATCCTTGGGAAAACCTTTGAAAAAATTTTTAAGAATCACATTTGTGGGAGTGCAGCAGGAACAATAATACTGAAGGGCAATCAGCACAGGTTCATAGGTGGTAGATCCTGCCTAGTGCCTTGTTTCTTTTTATGTACAGGTTACTAAAGGCTTAGATGCAGGGGATGAGGTAGCTATCATCTATCTGGATTTTAAGAAAGGCTTTGATATGGTATCTCATCTTATTCTCATAAATAAACTGAGCGACTGTGATGTAGATGATTACATGGTCAGGTGAGTGGCAAACTGGCTAATGGGAGAGTGGTGGCAGATGGGTCGGCATCAACCTGGAAAGATGTGGGCAGTGGAGTTCCCCAAGGTTGGTCATTGGACCAGTGCTGTTCAATGTCTTCATCAGTGATTTGGATGAAGATGTGGAGAGCACTCTGTCCAAATTCATGGATGACACCAAATTATGGGGTAAAGTAAACACACTAGCGGGCATGGAATGAATCCAGGCAGATCCGGACAGGTTGGAGAAATGGGCAGAACAGAACAGGATGCAATTTAACAAGGACAAATGCAACGTGCTGTACCTAGGGAGGAGGAATCACCAGCACACTTACAGGCAGTGGGGAAGACCCTCTCAGCAGCACTGTAGCAGAAAGGGATCTCAGAGTCATAGCTGACTCCAAAATGAACACGAGTTGTCAGTGTTATGAAGTGATCAGTAAAGCTAACTGCTTCTTTATCATGCATTAGCAGATGCATCACAAACAGGTCCAGGGAGATGATACTTCCCATCTATGTGGCACTGGTGAGGCTGCAACTGGAGTACTGCATCCAGTTTTGGGCACTGTACTTCAAGAGGGATGTGGAAAACCTTGAGAGGGTTCAGGTAAGGCCCTATGAGGAGACATTGAGGGACCTGAATCTCTTCAGCCTCCGCAAGAGAAGACTGAGATGATCTTGTGGCCATCTACAGATTCATCGGGGGGACAGCAAGGGATAGGAGATGCTCTGTTTACCAGGGCACCCCTTGGAGTAACTAGAAATAATAGCCACAACCTGACAGAGAGCAGATTCAAGTTAGACATCAGGAAGAATTTTATGGTACAGGTTGCCAGAATCTGGAATGGGCTTCCAAGGGAGGTGGTGCTCCCCCCTACCTTGGGGGTCTTTAAGAGAAGACTAGATAGGCACCTGGCTGGGGTCATCTGACCCCAGCGCTGTTTCCTGCCCAGGGCAGGGGGTCAGACTCGATGATCTGCTGAGGTCACTTCCAACGACAGATGACATTTTGGGACCAGATGCTGGTTTAGAGTCCCTCCAGAGCTGGGGGAGGGGGAAAGGGAGACGTTAAGGTTTATTAAATGTATATACCACGGTATAAGAGTTCCCTGTCTGTTACCTGTTATCTGTTCTTGGGTGGTTTCGCCACAGTGACGTGGTTTATTACCTGTAATATATACAGGTATGTAAGTGTATATATCCTAATGTTTATTTACCTCTGCTTTTTCCCAATCTCCTTAGCCTGGTGGCTTGTGACTAATCCCCAGCATCTCTTATATAAAAGTGGAAACTTCCCTTGGTGGTTCTCTGTGCTAGTTCCTGGGTTGTGGGGTTTGGTATGATTTGATCTTAAGGTAGTGCCCTTAGAGCAGGCATGCTGTTCTTCACTGCAATGCTTTTTAGTGAGGTCCTTTCATGGTGTACACATGTCTAAAGACCACAAAGAGTTATTTTTGTTCATGCATGTAGCTTGATACAATAATAGTCCATAGGTCCTCATATATACTAGCAGTGCCACTGCTGCAGTAGGGTATATAAAACTAGCTCCATTTTTCCTTTCCAAGGTCTTTCTCTTCTCAAGTCAAGATAAAAAGGAGCCTGCACTTCACCCTTGCAAAAGTTATTGCAGCAGCTGCCCTTCTCCAGGTCCATGGATCCTCAGGACACAATATGCAATTGTCTAAGGATGCCTACTGGAAGATCAGGCATGGCACCTAACATGCACAGAGTGGGAAATATATAATGAATATAAAAGGCCTTCATAGGGACACACTACTTTTAAATGGATCTCCACAGAAATAATGGACAATCTGCAAGACATGTTCTACATACACACATGTTTAATGGTATCCCTTGTCCTATAGAGCACAGAGATATGAGCCTTTAGAAATGAAGGTCACAGAACAGAAGGTAGGGTGGAGACAAAGCATAAAGTTTCAGTCAGGTATTCAGCAAATGTACACAATGCTTTTCCTAGACAGGATATAGAAATATGTTTATTTTTTGCAGTTTATCCACAAAGAGTTGTTTCTTTACAGAACATTCTTCATTCTGTGATAAGCTGCAGTGCCAAATACTGATCTAAGCTGTTTCTGTATGTTGCATTTAGCCATAAAGTAATGTATATTTTAAACAATAAGGCAGAAACAGAAAACAAAAACAAACAAAAAAACAAACAACCCCCCCAAAAAGACAGATACTTAAGTAATTTCTCTACAAAATCCTAATTCTACTAAAAATCATGAGCAATAATTTATATAAAATAATAAAAATCTGTATTTGCAACACAATAGACTCGTTCTCCACCAAAGTAACACAAAATTTTGTATTAAAATATATACTCTATTACCTTTGTTGGAAAATATCTGCTAGTCTTGAACTGCTTCAGCGTGGATGATAGCATTACTGTAGAAAAGAATAGGATGACTGACCAGAAGAGAACATCCGGAACATAAGGTCCATGATGTCCACAGGCCCGTCCAACAAACTCCCCATGAAACTTGTTACATTCCTAATGGGGAAAGCAAACCCAATTGTCTTGCTACTATAAATGTTTTATTAATTTAATTATGCCTTCAGTTTAAATACAAATTATATTATACAATAAATTATCAATGAAAAATTAAACATATTTAACCCTTTTCCTTTTAAAACAAATCTTTAGGTCATAGTTTTCTAGGACTTATTGTACTTTCTACCTATAATGTTATGAAGAAAAGTGAAAGCTTCAAAATAAAAATTCTCTGTCTCAGAACAAAGAGAGTTGTACATACATAAATACCTTGTTATAATGCCCCTAAAAACCTAGCGAGATTTTGCAATTTTCTTCCCTAGAAATGCTTAATGACAGTGTATTACTTCACTTTATACCAGTTAGAGATAATGAAACCAATTTGGGTGAAAAAAAAATCAGAAGTCTTCACCCATTCTTGCAAACTGTCTGTTTTGTTTTTCAAAAAGATAATTAAAACTTTTTTAATTTCCACATGGTTTACACTTCCTATTTCCTATTAAGAAAGGAAACAGAAATTCAAAATATCATTCATAAAAAGCTGTTCCAGTCCCATTTTCAGGCTTGTTTCAATTTGATAATTTGAGTTGTTCAAAGAAGTTTGGACTTAAATTTTATCCTGGAAAGGAACAACATTATTTACCAGAAGGGGGCAGCACACTCCACCAAATTCTTGTTTGGATTAGCTTGTTTCTAAAAATGATCTGATAAAATCAAAAAAAAAGTAACCACTTATTTAGGGTATCTCCCTTCATTTCAAGTCCAGTGTGACAAAGACTGTCCAATTTTATTCATTTTAATTTTTAGGTAATAGATAAATTGGAACCAAAATCCCAGATGGAAATTTCACAGGACTCCCTAAGCAGCAGTCTAAACAACTGATTAAATGGGCAGCCATAAAGATGGATTTTTCCCAGCCTCCCTGCTCACAGAAATATAAAGAATATTTGAATATGTGTGCAAAAGAAGATACAATCTTAGTGCTCATTGTCTAGTAACACTAAGTAAAAAATTATAGGGAACACAAGAATTAACACCATGAAAAACAGGGTAATATTTATGCATCACAGCAATGTGTGAAAGGAGTCAAGTGTGTACCAAAAATGTCATCAAGAAACTTTAAACTGTAAATGAATAAATATTGGAAAATGTGATATTTCTTTGACAGGCCAAGGTGTTATTAGAAAACCCATCCAGTCCTATTGCTCTTAATTTAACCTATTGTTTCGATAACAGGACTTTGGGAAGATGTTTTCAGGGATTTCGTGAAGCAGAATAGGGCTTTTACATTCATTCTTAAAATACACTCTATTGTCTTAAATCTAGCATAAACATATTCTGAAACAGACTTGCATAGGTTGAGATTTGAAAAACTGAAAAGGAAGGTCTGCCCCTGCACAGACACTTTGCTAAAATCTAAAAGGCTGGATTCTCCTTAAAAAGTTCACATTTCCCACAGTTTAATCCCACCTTAAAATAAGCACAAAAATTCAGGAACTGCTCATCTCATCTAGCTATTAAGGAAGGTTTGGAAGGATGAGGAGATCAGGAACTCCTTAGATCTGGGTGTAACTCCCTAAGATTGGAGAGGCATCCTACAGTTTGAAAAGCTATGCCTTTGAAAGGAAATAATATCCATGAGAGCAAATTTATTGGATTAGCATTAATAGAGTTCAGTTGGATAAACCGAGGCACATAGCCTAATTTCCTTGCAAAAATACCTAACAAAGATAAAAGAATAAGTCTGGTGCCCATTAGGGTGACTTCGGCCCTCCCTACTGAAGACACCAAGCCTGGATCTTGTATGTCTCTTGGGCTGATAAATAGTTTTGTGTCTTTTTTAGACTGAATTTTTATTGGCATAGTGATGAAGAAAGAAATATTGCAGGGAAGAATGGTCTGTGTTCAAATATGCTATTTATTATCAAGTTACAAAAGCCTCTGTTAGGAAGGAAAAAGAGAAGCACCAACCTTACCCAGAAAATCATATTAATCCAGAAACAAACATATTGTGCATGTGAAAAAAAGAATGGTGTGTTTCTTGTTCTGCCCTGCAGAATGGTAACATAATTACTTGCAGGAATCTTTTACACAGCTCTGACAGTCACACAATACAAAGTTAACAAGAAAGGAATGGGGTAAAGGAGACTTCCAGTATCAGATATATGATGCTAACATACTTTCTCCTCTCCCTCTTTACTATAGCCTGAACAGCTGGAGGAGAGTTTTAAGGGAAATACAGGCTTATAGGTTCTTTCCACTCAAGGCAGCTTTAATTTTGCCATCTGGTAGAATTTAGGTCAAAACTGCTGTCATTTGATGTGTTCAGACTTAATCCAAGCCAGACTTCTCTGTTAGTATGCAAAGAAGTTTTCGAAGTACTTGACAACAATGCACATTCTTGCCCTAATATGTACTATGAACTAACAATGATTAACAATGACTATATAATATAAAAAAGAGCAAAAGTTAATGCTACAAAATCATGTTAATCTTTATTCAGCAAAGTAGTGTATCTGACCTGAATCAAACTCTAAGATCAGAAAGGGAATAAAATATTTTGCAATATAAATATAATAGAAAATATAACATTGGTATTTAACCAGCTAGTTATTAGGTTCCAACATCTCACTTACTGACAAAGTTACGTTTCCCCATGGTACATCAGATGCAGAGATATTGTAGTCCTTCCAGTATTGCAAGGTTTTATTGCTAGGATTTTCTGGCTCCATACAACTGCATCTGAAAAGGTAAAACAATATTTTTTCCTATCAAATATTTGCCACACAATAATCAAAATCTTTATTATATTTAAAGCATTAAATTTGTGATCTGCTTTTTAATATGATTTTAATTAAATTTGATTCTACAGTTCTATAGGGTTGAGTACAAATCAATAGTTAGTGGCAGTGTTGGAGCATATATATGCATGTACACTTCCTTGTGAAATATATCTATTACTAAAGTAGAACAAAAATAAAGGAAAATTGGCTACTGTGTCACTGCAATGCTATCTAATATATGAAACTACAGGTTTCATTCCAGGGAAGATCTTGATCTTGGGAACAGACCAGTGCTACTTTACTTATATCTCTGAAATTTTCTACATAGGGACCACATATATAAACCTAAAAAATAAAGCAATGAAATAAATAAATAACCTATGGCTCTAGTCTACAATCATGTATTTCTCCAATTCTAACAGTGTTTTCTAACATTCTTTTTTCTTTTACAATATCTCTGCATAAGACATCTGCTAAGAGTCCAGGGCAGACTTTAAGGCTTGTATCAGACATGTTTCCCTTTCCCACAGCCGCCTTTAAAATTAATTTTCATTTAACTGGTGTATTTTATACACCAGGGGAAATGTGGGAGAGGCTGTAGGAGGTTAACATTACAAATAAGCCATTCAAAAATCAAGATTAAGTCTTTTAAGGCTCTGAAGCTCTGGAAGAAGCCTCAGCAAAGCCTTAAGAACTAGGCATGGTCTTTTCAGGTTCTCAGATGCAAAAATATTGCCTTGTGGTATTCTTTATTTAACCATACCTTCAAATCTACAGTAGTGCTTACTGATATCATAAACTAGTAGGCCTGTGTGAAATGGCTAGTATTCGCTTCAGATTCAGATTTGGCCAATAAGGGGGACAGTAATTCGATTTGGTGATTCAAATCACTGTTCCAAATTGATTCAGCAGAATCTGATTCACAGATTTGGCTTCTGATGAATCTCTGAATTGCAAAGGCCCATCCCCCCTGCCTGCTGTCCTAGCCCCCACATGGCCGCCCCGCCTGCCCCAGGTCCCAGCACTTTGGGGAAAAAAGCCTCAAACTCACCAGGTGCTGCTGGCTGGGGGGGGGGGGCGAGCTGTGGGATCCCCAATGACCCCCACTACCCCACACTACATGGGGGGCTCTGTCATGAGCCCCCAACTCTCCCCCCCACTATCCCAGATCCCACCCCATGGCTGCCCTGCCCACCTCAGCTCTGGCCTTTTAAGGAAAAAAAACTCCCAAAACCCTGAACTCACCAGTTCCTGCCAGCAGGGGGGCAATCCTTGCTGCCCCCAGCTGCCCCCCACCACATGGGGGGCTCTGCATGAGCCCCCCAAAACCCCAAGCCCCCTGCAGGAGCTGGTGAGCCCAGGGTTTTTTTGGGGGAGGGGGGTTCTTAAAAGGCTGGAGCTGGGGCAGGCGAAGCAGCCATGAGGGTGGCTGGAGGGAGTTGGGGACCTCATGGCAGCCCCCCCATGCAGCGTAGGGCAGTGAGGGGCAGCAGCCGGTGAGTCGGGGCTTTTTTTTAAAGGACCGGGAGCTAGGGCAGGTGGGGCGAATCTCCTCTGAATCAAATCATCACCTGAAGCTTCACACAGCCCTATAAACTAGGAGTAACAGCTATGCACTAACTTCTCACACCCCTTAGTGTTTCATTGATCATCGGGTCCAGCTCCCTGCACCAAGCAGGAAAGATAACTGGGGATAACTGGGGATCAGGTGACCCCAGCAAGGTGACTGTCTAGTCTCCTCTTGAAGATTTCTAGGGTAGGTGATTGCACCACCTCTGGAGGGAGCTTATTCCAAAGTCTGGACACCCTGACTGTGAAGAAGTTTTTTCCTACTGTTGAGCCTGAATCAATCTTTCAGGAGTTTGTGGCCATTACTCCTGGTTTTCCCCTCACCGAGCCCTTGGCGTACTTCCTTAGTGTAGTGGTAAGCTCCTACCAGGTCCGCTCTCAGCCTTCTTTTCTTCAGGCTGAAGAGTCCCAGGTCCCTCAGCCTTTCCTCATATGGCTTGCCTTTTAAGACTCTGATCATATGGGTGGCTCTTTTTTGGACTCTCTCAAGCTTGTTCACGTCCTTCTTAAAGTGTGGGGCCCAGAATTGGATGCAGTACTCCAGCTGCAGTCTCACCAGTACTGAGTAGAGTGAAAGAATCACCTCTTTCGTTTTGCTGGAGATGCATCAATCGATGCATGCCAGGGTATCATTTGCCCTGCTGGCTACAGCATCACACTGCCAGCTCATATTCATACTGTGGTCTATTATTACCCCCAGGTCCCTTTCATTCGTGGTGCTAGTCAGTTTGGTGCCGCAAATCCTTTGGTGTGCTTGGGGCTACTCATCCTGAATGGGGCTCTTTACATTTCTCGATGTTGAACTTCATCAGGTTCTGATCCGCCCAACTTGCTAGCCTGTCTAGGTCCGTCTGTATCTGTAGCCTATCTTCAAGTGTGACCACACTCCCCCATAACTTGGTGTCATCCACAAACTTGGCCAGTGAGCTCTTCACACCCTGACATCCAAATGTTTAATAAAGATGTTGAAAAGTACTGAACCGAGCATCGACTGCTGTAGGACACCGCTGCCCACTTCTCGCCAGGATGACACGGATCCATTCACTACGGCTCTCTGGGTTCTATCTTGCAGCCAGTTTCTCACCCACCTGACTGTCTTGGAGTTGAGCCCACATTCCTCCAATTTTCTTGCAAGGACATTGTGGGATACTAGATCAAAGGCCTTTTGGAAATCAAGGTATACAATGTCAACCTGGTCTGTCATGTCCAGGTGGTGAGTTACAAGGTCAGAGAAAGAGATGAGGCTGGTAAGGCAAGACTTGGTCACAATGAAACCATGCTTCCTGTCATTCAGAATCTTACCTTCTGCAAGCTTATTGCAGATAGACTCCTTGACGAACTTCTCTAGGATTTTCCCTAGGATGGAAGTTAGGCTTATTGGCCTATAGTTACCCAGGTCCTCCTTCCTGCCCTTCTTGTGGATGGGCACAACCTTGGCCCTCTTCCAGTTCTCAGGGACTTCTCCAGAGTGCCAGGAGTTGTGGAAGAGTTTCACCAGGGGTTCCGCAATGACTTTGGCCAGCTTCTTCACGACTCTCGGATGAAGATCATTCAGTCCTGCTGTCTTGTATACATCTAATTTTTTTAATTGGTCATACACCAATTCTACAGCAATAGTAGGAAGGTGATTATTTTTACCATGCTCATCCTCTACTCCATCTGGCATCATTGTCCCCTTGGTCCGATGAAAGACCAAGGCGAAGTAGTCACCTGTTATTACAGGTACTAAACTTAATGTGCAGTAACTATGCTGCATTAATGCATGTGTAGACGTGCCAACTTTCACCTAACCTCCCCATCCCCATCTCCTCCACACACACAGCTACTTTATTTCAACAGAACAACTGATGTTCATACAATAATGCAGATATTTTAGTTAGCCCATTGGATTTTGATTCCATTAGGCTAGGATGAGATGCGGTGTTCAAACACTGTCACTTGCTCTCTAAAAGGGAAGACAGCATATCACCTATGCCACACCACTTAAATGCACCTAACTACAAATAATAAACTAAAAGTTAAATAGAGTAACCAAAAATTTCCTATTTTTTCAGTCAGAAATGGGATAAATGGATCAAACAGAATGTTCATGTTTTGTTTTGATGTCCAGTACTTCATTTTATCTTTTCTTCTATGGGATCGTGTACTATGTTCTGTTTTAATTTTGTGTTAGCTGGTAGAGTGGATAGTATTACTTTACTTTTTTAGCAAAAATGATAAATTCTAGAAATACTGTTATTTTCTTATTGCAGAAGCTGTAAATAAATGACAACTACTACTACTGATCAATGGAGAAAAAGAATTAATAATTTGAATTCCTCAATTAGTTTGGTGAATTGCTTTTGGAATTTCATAACTTTTCCAATAACATCTGACAAATACCTGAATATATTATGTGACTGCTGTTGCTGGGCCTGCCACACTATAAAAGTGGATAAACAGAGCAATCCTTATCAAAGCCTACTTCAGGGAGACATAAGGCCTTTGTCTAGTGTTTACTAAATGTATGCATTTGTTGGTGGCAGATCATTCACCTGTAAGTTACTTGTATAAACACAGTCCATGTAGATCAAAGTTGTAATCCTGAAGCACTGAAGTCAATGGAGTTCTGTCACTGATTTCACAGGGACCAGAATTAAGCCCTTACTGAGTGGATCAAATTCTTGTCTTCTGCTAAATCCATAAAATTTAAGTCAAAGTACATGTTCAGGGTGTGAAAAAAAATCAGTTTTTTGTGACTCCCATTGTGTACGTGATACTGCAGGGGATTCACTAATTATGGCTTTGGGGAATTCTTCTGAAAATTTTGCTTTGATGCTGAAGCAGTCCTAGATGACAAAGGAATAGAATTCAATTCTGCCTCTTCACATAGTGATCTCACACATACATTCTATACAAGTCGCAAATAGAAAGACTAGCCCCATCCAATCTGGTAACAAACACCAACAAATTTGAGGGAAAAAAGTAACTTTGAGTCATCTAAAACAAAATATTTTAATTGTTATTGATCTCATTGTCATCTATCAGAAGAAATGGGTCATCTAAATGAGTTAGGTGAAGGATGAGGTGGGTTTTCAAGAACTGGAAGTTCATCGCTCATGTATAGAAAACAACAAAGTAGAAAGAGTATAGGGGACATTGATACTGTTATCACTCTGTGTGAAGTGAAAAGGAGGAAAAATCTGAGAAAGGTGATCCAGGATTTCTGAGCTGTGCAGAGTCCTGAACATTAGGATAATAAGTTTAAACTTGATCAAATGGGTGAGGAGACACCAGTAACACAATTTACAGATTAATTCCTATCGTGGAAGATAATTTAGATTGTAGACCTCCACATGGATTAGAGGGGAGCAATGTGAGTTAAGAGATGCTAGATAGGAGGAAATTATA